TTATCTAACACCAATTTAGCTTTGCCCATTAGTTTACTAAATTCTGGTATTAGATGTAGCAATAATAAACTCTTCTATCCTTTGAGCTCAACAAATGTCCTGGTTATTTGCATCTGAAAACGGGTTCATTGAAAGAACCATGCATGGGTATCAACCACATCTCCTGTTGAGGAACAGAAGGAGTATGATTTCATTGGGTTATGTTTGAACCACAGGCCATGATACAAGTACATTGAAATATTGATTGATTTACTGACAGCTCTGGATTAAAAGATATGCATAAAGAGGAATGGGGTTAAAATCCCTCCTGATAGACTAACTCAGATTATAATCAAAATGTGATTGGCTATAGTTGGGGGTTTTGAAAAAACAAGGAAGCAATATTCTATAAACACAATTTCTGGATAGGGAGAGGGAAAGATAGAGAATTACTACTGTTTGCTTTCCCAGAATTCTGCTCACCTCATGGTATCTTCTCCAAGCTTAGCATCACTGCTTGCCTTTTTCAAAGTTGTATGACTGAACTGATAGTTTTACTTACTCTTGAAAAATGTTTTTGCAGAAGGGATAGTTGTTTAATATGAACTTACATTGCTGTGCCAGAGCTTTGTTTTTGCTGGGAAAGTAATACTTGGGTTAGGAGCGTCTAATCTGAACTTCAGAAATACTAGCACGTGTGACGTATTACTTTAATGCAAAGGGAAATAAAGACGTATTAGGAAGTATTATTTATTCAAGTATGTATACAACTGAGAACTGAATTCAGAGATGGTACCACCTAAATTGTTGTTGTTGTTAGTTGCAAAGTCGTGTCCGACCCATCGCGACCCCATGGACAACATTCCTCCAGGTCTTCCTGTCCTCTACCATCTTCTGGAGTCCATTTAAGCTCACACCTACTGCTTCAGTGACTCCATCCAGCCACTTCATTCTCTGTCGTCCCCTTCTTCTATTGCCCTCAATCTTCCCCAGCATCAGGCTCTTCTCCAGTGAGTCCTTTCTCATTAGGTGGGCAAAGTATTTGAGTCTCAACTTCAGGATCTGGTCTTCTAAAGAGCAGTCAGGGTTGATCTCTTCTAGGACTGACCGGTTTGATTACCTTGCAGTCCAAGGGACTCGCAGGAGTCTTCTCCAGCACCATAGTTCAAAGGCCTCCATTCTTTGTCGCTCAGCCTTTCTTATGGTCCAACTTTCACATCCATACATTGCAACTGGGAAAACCATGGCCTTGACTATACACACTTTTGTTGGCAGAGTGATGTCACCTAAATACTTTGAACTAATTTTGATTTTTTTTAAAAATATATATATATTACCATGAATATCAGTTTTTAATAAAATTGCAATAATAAACTAATTATGTTTCTCTGGTCTTCCTTATTTAAAAAACACCCTCCATTATCCATTTATATAGTTATATGTTATTAGTGTGTTTTTATCCTGTTTTGATATGTTTCTCTCCACATTCTTCTCATTCTTCACTGACAAATCTATTGAAATCCTGATTTAATATCTACAAATGTAGTAATTGCAACTCTGGTGACATAACCACCATTCTCAGCGCATAAAAATCAATAACCATATCAACAGATCCTGAGAATAGTAGCAATATTGTAAGCAGGGCTTTTTTGTCATAGAACGCACGGAACGGCATTCCAGCACCTTTTTTTGACGGATTTTCAACTTCCACAGAAACAATAGTGAAGGTGGCTCTTCACTCAGCTTATGCTGCTTTGGGGGAAAGAGCCCTGGCTTCTGCTGCCCCCAACAGGGGAATGGCATGTGGTTAGTCCCGGGGTACAACTCACGCATTTGTGCCCACCAGACTCGGCTGCTTTCTCCTGCATAGGCTGTGCTATTCCCTTTGTTGTCTTTCCAAAGCCAACAGGAATTACCCAGACCTGGTCATTGACAGCTGTCTCTGCACCACTGAATGCTCTGAGCAGAGGCGAGTTGTCAGGAACTTTGCACCCTTCCCTGCTGCCCAACCAGTCTTTTCAGATGAGTCTTCTATGACAGGGCTTTTCAACCAGTGGTACGGGTACCACCTGTGGTACATTAGCACCTGGCAGGTGGTACGCGACCATCCTAGAAAAGTAGTGGGGGAGGGGAATGAGCTGAACCCATGTCAGCACCTGACAAGCCTGAGCGAGAGATGGCTGGAGCTGCAGGGCTGTCAGGGCTCAGCTGAAGTGCCAGGATCAGCACTTCTTCGGGACTGTCAGGGCTCAGTGGAAGCACCAGGATCAGCGCCAGGTTCCAGCTGGAGCTCGGCACTGATCCTGGCACTTCTGCTGAGCCCTGAAGAAGCGCCGATCAGCTGGAATGTTGCAGCATCTCCAGGGTCTTGTGATTTACATTCAGACGCTTGGCAACTGATTCATATTTATGATGGTCACAGTGTCCCAGGGTCATGTGAAGTGACCAAACCTGCTGCAACCACCCAGCAAATGGGGGAAATAAAAACCAAACACACACACACACACACCCGCTGCCAATCCTCAACAGAAATGCTCACAACAATGAAAACCTCGGACAGGAGGAAGAGCACTGCCGGGTGGGCAGATAGGTGTCTTGCTCGGCTGTGGCTTGGGGGGCACTTTTTTCAGTGCCGTTGTAACTTCGAACAGTCACTAAGTGAACTGTTGTAAGTTGAAGACTACCTGTACTTCATCACTTTTTTTCCTTTTTTTGTCATCAAGTTTTTGACACCTTGCTAGGCGACTGGGGTACTTGGATATTGCCATATCCTAAAAGTGGTACAATGGGTGAAAAGGTTGAAAAGCCCTGTTCTAGGACAGTAGTCCCCAGCCTTTTGGGCACCAGGGACTGGTTCCGTGGAGAAAGGTTTTTCCTCGGACCAGAGGGTGCGTGATTTTGTGTGCTGCCAGCATCCCATGGATGGGGTTTTGTTTGTTTGTGCAGACCAGTTGCTGACATGCTGCGGCCCAGTATCAGTCCACGGACCGGGGGTTGAGGACCATGTTCTAGGAAAGATAAATAAAAGGAAGACGGTATCCCTAAAGATTATCTCATACAGGTAGTACTCAACTTATAACCACAATTGAGCCTAAAATGTCTGTTACTGAGACATTTGTTAAGTGAATTTTGCCTCATTTTATGACCTTTTTGCCACAGTTGTTAAGTTGTTAAGTTAGTAACACAGTTGTAAAGCGAATCTGGCTTCCCATTGATTTTGCTTGTCAGGTCACAATAGGTGATCACATGACCCCAAAACACTGCAACTATCCTGAATATGAGTCAATTGCCAAAGGTCTGAATTTTCATCATGTGACCACAGAGATGCTGCAGTGGTTGTAAGTGTGAAAAACATCCAGAAGTCACTTTTTTCAGTGCCATTGTAATTTCAAACAGTCCCTAAATGAACTGTAGTAAATCAAGGACTACTTGTATTAAAAGCTCCACATGGAAAAATTGTATTATCTCTGGACAAAGAGTTATAACTTAGCTTGCACTGTATGCACAAAATTCTGATGGATGCAGGTTTTAGATTTGAAATCTGCCTCAACTTATTTGGAAGTAGTTATAAACTTGGGAATGAGACAGCATTATCACTGGTTGTACTAAATCGTCAAAAAATGGGCCTTGAGTCAATGTGAGAGACAAGGGCGTGAATAGTCTCAAATATGGACTGGATTTATTCACTGCATTTCATTTTCAACTTCAGAGTCCAAATTCTCTATGAACTCAAGAAAATCTACCTAATAAGGAAATATGTAAGGACCTACTTCAGCTAAGCCACCCAAGAAAGCAGAACTCTTGAAACAAGCATTGTCTCAAAAGGAAACTTTTATTAGGGGCTAGTGACAGCAGGGAATCAAGGCAAGATCTGAGAGAAAAACCTGCGAAGTGATATATTATAAGTAGCATTCAATACTCCTCCCCTCCTCCCAGTGTCCCAGTGTTCATTTGAATCCCAGCCAATCCACAGGTGGCATCTGTGTTTTGGTAACCGGACTTTTTGGCGGGCTCTTCAAGGTCTCTCTCACTTTCGATTTCTTTTGGCTCCAAGCACAAACCATTTCTCAGATAAAAGTGAGACATTCCATCCCCCGGGGAAGGGCAACAAGGCAACAAAGCTAACAAAGCCAGACATTTATCTCATTTCTTCACTGAAAAAAAACCATTAAATACACTGGAAAAATTGCAACTCTGGTGTCACAACTACAAGAATGTCACTATCTGCAGAATTTTGGATCTCTCCTCA